GAAGAAGAAGAAGAAGAAGAAGAAGAAGACGAAGAAGAAGAGGTGGGCAGATGCGCAGTCACGGGGCTCAGTGGTCTAGGGGTATGATTCTCGCTTTGGGTGCGAGAGGTCCCGGGTTCAAATCCCGGCTGAGCCCAAGGCTTGTTTGGTAGACGGCAGGTTTCCCAGACGGTGGGTTTTAGCCTCGACCTCTTACCCAACAGCACCCCGCCCACAGTCATGCTCGCACCCCGATGCAGTTCCCCACCGTCCTACGACGAGTCGACCACCGCGCCACCTCACTGATCCGTTGCTCCGACTGGCAGAAGTGCTGTTTTGCGCGCAATCTGTGCGTTCGATATTGAAGGTGATTAGACGAAAGAGAATGACAGCGGCGGGATTCGAACCCGCGCCCTTTCAGACTGGTGCCTAAAACCAGCGCCTTAGACCACTCGGCCACGCTGCCTCGCGCATCCTCGCCCTTCACCCGCTACCTCCCACCCACTTCTACCGCGACATACAAATCAATGCACGTAGGTGAACCTACTCTCTCACCACCCAATTCAAACCCACACCTCCCTAAACAACCCCCCTCCAACCACCTCCACTTCACTCCAACACGCTTCTCACCCCGGTTTGGGCACGCCTGCAGCTGAACAGCATGCACGACACCTACCCATGCCACTACACCGTACCCGCCTTATCCTATCCTATTACAACCTTTCATATGACAATATTTTCCTATCCTGTCGCATGGCACTGCGTCGTACGGAAGCGAACTGTGTGGTACGATACCACACCACAAGGCGCGCTGCATGTTGAGTTGCACCGACTACATGTTAAAGAAGCGACATGGGCAGATGGGAGGGGAGAAACACGGGCTCAGCCGGGATTCGAACCCGGGACCTCGCGCACCCGAAGCGCGAATCATACCCCTAGACCACTGAGCCGTTTCTACAGGTGCACACACCCACTCCTGCTTCCTGTCTCGGCCACTCTCTAGTGCTTACCTGCCATTGCATTGTGTTACGCCATGTCTGCTCCTCCAACCAGCAACCTCGCGAAGCTGCTAATAAGCACCCAACTAACTCCACTCTACTTGGCTACTTTGGAATGGACTGCTGCCTGCATTCGGTCGAGCGCTCGGGCAACAAATGGGCGATTGGCGATTGGCGATTGTCATTCTCAGCGGTTGCGCAGCGCGGATTGTTAGTGCTGTCGGCTTTGAATCCTGCGATTGGAGGGCAATTCTCGGTGGAGTCTGGCGTGTGATCGCTGACACAACGGTCTCTGGCAATGCCACGTTAAGTCAGCTTTGTGAATCCCCTCATCTGGCATCCTCTGGCATGCCTTGGCAGCTGCTCGCGTTCATGCACGTGTGCGCTGTGAAGCCTGAGAAGTGGGTGAAGCCGAGGGAGGAGTTGTGCCTACCCACGGAATGGGGAGGCATGGATAAGAAGCCGAAGGTGGGGCGCCCGGGTAGCGCAGTCGGTTAGCGCGTCAGTCTCATAATCTGAAGGTCGCGAGTTCGAGTCTCGCTCTGGGCATGCGCTTTTACCCTTGAATGTATCGCATTTGTCAGCTGGCGGCTTAGCACCGCACGCCGACAAGCATCGCTTGTGTGGTCGTGCGCAAGCCCACCTTACTGACTGGTGCTGCCGACAGGGGGTGTATGGAGTGGTGGCTCGGCGATGACAAAACACCCACGGTGGGACTCGAACCCACAATCTTCTACTTAGGAGGCAGACGCCTTATCCATTAGGCCACGCGGGCTCACCCCACGAGCCTCCTCGTCGGCAACCCCCTCCCACCGCCGCTCCGTCCAGTCCCATTACCTCGAATACACACCCACTGTTACATCAGCCCGACATCTCCTCTACTCTCCCAACTCTCGATTCTGTCACTCCTCCACACCTCCACTCAATCAGCCAAATGGCGTCCAACTACCTTC